TTGAGATTGCATCCAAGTACCACATTTTGGACTCTTTTTTTGACTTTGACGGCTACTCCATTTCTTCTAAGGGATTCTTGCCCACAGTAGTAGATATAATGGTCATCTGAGTTAAGTTCATCCATTCCAGTCCATTTTAGTTCACTGATTCCTAAAATGTGGACATTCACTCTTGTCATCTCCTGTTTGACTACTTCCTATTTGTCTTGATTCATGGACCTAAGATTCCAGGTTCCTATACAATATTCTTTACAGCATCAAACTTTACTTCCATCACCAGTCGCATCCACAACTGGGTGTTGTTTTTGCTTTGGCTCCATCCCTTCATTCTTTCTGGAGTTATTTCTCCACTGATCTCCAGTAGCATATTGGGCACCTACTGACCTGGGGAGTTCATCTCTCAGTGTCCTATCTTTTTGCCTTTTCATACTGTTCATGGGTTTCTCAAGACAAGAATACTGAAGTGGTTTGCCATTCCCTTCTCCAGTGGACCACATTTTGTCAGAACTCCCTACCATGATCCGTCTGTCTTGGGTGGCCCTACACAGCATAGCTCATAGTTTCATTGAGTTAGACAAGGTTGTGGTCCATGTGATCAGATCAATTAGTTTTCTGATAGTGGTTTTCAGTCTGTCTATCCTCTGATGGAGAAGGATAAGAGGCTTATGGAAACTTCCTGATAGGAGAGACTGACTGAGGGGGAAACTGGATCTTGTTCTGATGGGCAGGGCCTTGCTCAGTAAATCTTTAATCCAATTTTTTTCCATCTTTTTTCTTCCATCAATTTTCTTCCCCAACTAGGGCTCAAACCCAGGTCTTCTGCATCTCAGGCAGATTCTTTATCTTCTGAGTCACGTGGAAAGTCCTAATGGACAAAGCAACCATTATGTCCATGGATTCTGCAGCTCAGGAATTTGGGCAAAGCTGACTTGTCTCTGCTGCAACCTCATGAGGGATGGGAGGCGCTGGAGGCAGGGGAGTGTGAGCTGAGGTTATCTGAACTATCATCTGTTCATGTGTCTGTTGAACAATACTTGTTGTCAGCTGCGAAAACTATGCGTGACCTCATGTGGCCAGGACTTCAACAAAGAGGCTGGTTCCAAGACTGAGAATCCTCAAAGACAAAGGTAGGCAGAAGCTTTACTGGTTTTTTGTTTTTTGTTTTGACTTAGGCTCCAAAGTCACACAACATCCCTTTGGCCACACTTTCTCAAACCATCACAATGGCCCATGTTTGAGGGAAAGTGAAGCAGACTCCACTTTAGGGAGTGGCAAAATTCTAGATAAGAATGTGGGACTGAAAAGATCATTTTGACCATGAAACTATTAATGAAATTACTTCATTCTCTGAGTTGCCAGGATGCCAAAACTGAGCTGGAAATCCCTGACATGCACTTAGGGTACCCTACAAGAATATCTGAATTTAATGTTCTATATTATTAGCAATGTCCAAAGCAGACAGACAGCTCATTATTCCCTGTGAATCCCCTGAGAAGGGGACTGTTCCAAGAACCAGTACCAATGTGATGACCTCCACAGCTCCCTCTAACTCTCCAGTTAGACAAGTCTTTGACTCAGGCTATTTTAGTGGCTCAGAGGATAAAGAATCAACCTGCCAATGCAGGAGACTTGGGTTCAATCCCTGGGTCTGGAAGATTCCCTGGAGAAGGGAATGGCAACCCACTCCAGTATTCTTGCCTGGGGAATCCCACAGAGAGAAGCCTGGAGAGGTACAGTCCATGGAGATCACAGAGAAGTTGGCCATGACTGAGCCACTAAACAACAACAACAAACCAGCACTTAACTACAGTTAAGTGCTAAAGACAATCCTCAGTACTTTCAAGCAGCTTCAACCACTTAACAGTGATCTTTTCCTCTGGTCTTATTTCTCACTAAACACTGTGAAACTGCAAAGCCTATGGACAATATGTGTTCTACAACATTTGAAATAGTGAGATCTATAGGAGTCCTAGGAGTTACTGGAAACAATGAGAACTCTACCAGTCTCGCCCAGCCCCTTTGAAGACTATGTAGTCTTATATTTTAAATGGAATTGGTTTGCAATTTGTTGTGGTGTGGAAATCATAAAGGTGCCATTAAAATTGGAAGAATATCCAATACCAGTAGTAATGCTGAAAAGAGTGGATTATTCCCAGTTGCTAGACTGCCTTCCTTTTTCTGCCTCAGCTTTAGAGTCTAAGAGTTGGCTTCTGTTGGATGTCTCTTTATTTAGGGTCAGTGTGAAACTGAATACAAATATCTTTTGTATTTTAAGATGATATGTCTCTCCCTGCTTGCAGCTTAGCCACAGGTCAGGACGGTCACAGTTCACGGTAAAGGGCCCATCTCCTTCCAGGAAATCCTAGAACAATGCTCAGCTCTTGCTTTTCTGACCATGGTTATCTTTGATATTGAACAATGAGGTGACCCTAAAGACAGAAACTGTTTTTTCTAAGTTACAAAAGAACTAACGGTTGACAAAATGATCCTACAGGAAAAAAAACAACTGGGCCTGATACCCGATTTCATCTTTCACTTCACCTCTTAGCTTCAGTTTCCTTTTCCTCTCTTTATACCAACACAGCCACTCTGTGCACATGCTCAGTCGCTTCAGTCTTCTCCGGTGCTTTGCGACCCTATGGACGTCAGCTCATCAGGTTACTCTATCCATCGGATTCTCCAGGCAAGAATACTGGAGTGGGTTGCCATGCCCTCCTCCAGGGGATCTTCCCAATCCAGGAATCAAACCGGCATCTCCTGCTCTGCAGGTGGATTCTTTACCACTGAGCCACCAGGGAAGTCCAGCATAGCCACTAAATTCCCTTTATTGGCCCAGAAATCTACTATAAGCTCCACAGTAGATTTTGGTCCTGAAGCTTTCAGATTTAGATATCGTTCTAAGAGAGGTACAAAAATAACTAAGTTGTGACAAAAAAAAATAGAAAATGGGCATAAAGAAAAATAAATGAATAAAAACTAGGAAGAGCTGAAGGGAGTGATTAATATGCAATCTGAGAGATGAAACTATGTGTTATATGTAGTTTAAGTGTAACTGTAGTCCCAATTCAGTGTCACTTCAGAATCTGGAGCTATGAATCAGAAGATGGGCAAGGTAACAGAAATAAATAAGAATATAAAATGAAGGAGATAAAATGAAGAAAATGTGTGCACATCTTCAGAAATAATCAACTTCTGAAAAGACTGTTTCTAAACAGATTTTTTTTCAGACTACATTTTCTGCATCTCAGTACCCAGGCAAATGATAATTATCATTAGAGAACCTGCAGTCCAACTAATGGAAACATGTCAAGGGTAACATAATCTTTGCAGAGGGGTAGAGGCCTGCAGGCATTCGATCAGCCAAGCAGATGTTCTTATTGTTCACTGGGCAAATGCATCTTTTTCAGACATAATGAACATGTTATTCAGATAATCCAATCCTCGAGCTAGACTCTTCAAGTAGAATTCTGATATTAATTTGGTTTCCCAGTTGGCCTAGCCTCCTAGAATTGCGATGCACTAAGTGTTAGCTCACATGGTAAAGAATCTGTCTGCAATGTAGAAAACCTAGGTTTGATCCCTTGGTCAGGAAGATCCCCTGGAGAAGGAAATGCAACCCACTCTGGTATTCTTGCCTGGAGAAGTCTACGGACAGACAATGGAGTCACAAAGAGTCGGACATGCGTGACTAACACACAAGTATCTTGCACCAATAAGCTAACCTGATTCCAATGTGAATTACATTTTCACTCTCATTTATACATCAGTCTCTTTCAAATTTGGCTAACTTGACTCAGTCCTCCAGAGCCTGCTAACCTCTGGGGAAAACTAACAAAACCAAAAGTTTCAACAGGCAAATCTGAGGGGCAGACTCTCATCCTCTGCAACTCCAATCAAAGTGCAGACTCCAGTCCCAAGCTGGATAGCTGTTCTGTTTCCCTCAATGACTGAATCATTTTACCAGCCGCATATAGAGGTACACATTTCATGAACAGGTCATTTCTAACGTTACCTAATGAAGTCCTGCTTCCTCAAGTACTTTTAGCCATAGAATTCTCTCTTAAGTTGACTGTTCTAAGTGTAGCGGAGGTTGGACTGACGAAATGACCTCTATGCAAAGTGACTTCCAGCTTTCTAATTGCTCACTGCTGCATACCTAAATATCACATTAAGTTAATTGAAATTATTTCTTGTATCTCCCATTGCATTTCTGTTCTTGCATATTTTAAGTATCTCCCTCTTTAGTTACTAACATCACCTATCAGGGGTCAACCAAAACATACTCTAGTAGTTATTCTGCACCCTTCCATTTACATACACACTTAAACACTAAAAGCCAATTGACCCAAAAAGTTTTATGTCACAGTGAGTTGCCTGGAAAAAAATATATCTACATACTGCAATTTCAGATTCATTTAAGCTAAGACACAATTTAAATAATTCATTAGAACAATAATTGTTCATTGCAAATCTGTTCTTCAAATGGATCCCCGTTTATCTTGCTCATCTATTCATTGCTCACCCTTCTTTAAGGCAGCATGTTCAAGGTGCACGTCAAAAGTTCCACAAGTTTGTTCCCCCGACTTTCCCACTGACTCATCGCCTGACCAGAGGCTGCTCACTGAAACTCCCTGGGCCGGTTTCATGATCATGTGTAAAACAGGGTTAATGAGATCTGCTTCCCCAGGGCCCTGCAAGAACCAAGTTATGGTTTGCAAAAGGCTTTGTGACTCATACATAAAAGGCTGTACAAGAAAGTAAACTGTCATTGAGCCTTACAAACAGTTTTCATCCCAATTATCCTAGTCAAGAGAGAAGGCTATCCTAAGCTTTCAAAAGATAATTCAATTAGCATGAAGTTCCGAGAATTTTCAAAGCTCAAGTGGGCAATTGCTGACTCAGGTTTTTTGTCTTTTTTTTTTTTTTTTCCTAAGAATCTGAAATGTCATTCATAGATAAGTGCAGGGAGGAGCAAAACAGAAAGACAGGAAATTCTTGGCTCTGGGATCCGGTAATAAGGGAGTCTGCCACTTTCAAATTACCTGCTGGAATCCGGCTCAAGACAATTATAGATGAAAAATCTTCCTGGTCTTCAGCCACCTACCAAAAATTGATGTTGGTTTTACACTTCCTAAAGTTGGAGCAATGATTTTCATGACTTAGGGGTAAGTAAATTAAAAGTTAATCCTATTAGGCTTGTTCTTGTACTGTGTGTGTGTGTGTGTGAGTTGCTCAGTCATATCCAACTCTTTGCGACCCCATGGACCATAGCCCTCTAGGCTTCTCTGTCCACGGGATTCTCCAGGCAAGAATACTGGAGTGGGTTGCCATGCCCTTCTCCAGGGTATCTTCCCAACCCAGGGATCAGTCCCCAGTCTCTCAAATTGCAGGTAGCTTCTTTACCATCTGAGCCACCAGGTCCTCCCCAGAGGGAGGATAGTCCTTTACTAGAGGATAGTAAAGCTGAAAAACTAAATTCTGAATTGTATAGAGCAATGGTGAGATAATTATGCTGTAGTTTAATTTTCCTACAAACATCTTAGGAGGAGACTCTGGGGAAAGACATTATTCATAGCTTGTAGAGTTACAGTGTTTGACACCAACTAATAATTCCATTTAGCTGCACTGTACTTATTTTCACCTTTAAATTATAACCACACTGGGAATGAGTAAATTTTTTCCTGTTATCGTTTGGTGGATTTCCATATTAAAAAGGCTCCTGGGCACTCTTGGCACTGAAAATATCATAATAATAATTAAAATGATTAACATTCACCCTCTTCCAATTAAGACAGTGCCTTAACTGCACTGATCCAGTGATGAATGTCAATGTCTTGGCTAAAATAGACAGACTGGGACTACAAGTTAGCAACAAGTAATGAATGAAAGCAAATTTTTTCAACAACCACTAAAATAAGATGTTGTTGGCCACTAAAATAAATTTTTTTTAACTTTTAAATCAAGGAAAGGCATCCAGTAGATTCAAGAAGATCAGGAAACTTCTCCTGGAAAAATACTAAAATTCCAGTTTCTCAAAAGTCTTGGCAGATTTCCACTATAGGAAACCCCATTGTCCAGGTAATTTTCATAATTTAGATTAAGCAAGCAAAAGCATGTATTATCTCAGTTTTTGTGAAGATTGCATATCAAAACTGACTCTATTATGTAACTAGCTGGGTGACCTTGAGCATTAACCTCCCTCTGTCTCTTTCCTTGTCTGTAAATGAAAATGATTAACAGGACCATCTGGGCTTCCCTTGTGGCTCAGCTGGTAAAGAATCGCCTGCAGTGCAGGAGACCTGGGTTCAGTCCCAGGGTTGGGAAGATCCCCTGGAGAAGGCAAAGGCTACCCGTTCCAGTATTCTGGCCCGGAGAATTCCATGAACTGTATAGTCCATGGGGTCACAAAGAGTCGGACAGGACTGAGCGACTTTCACTTCACTTCAATAAAGCCATCTAGAGTCTGGTGAGGGGATGTTTACATGGTCCCTAAATAATTGTTCTCCACTCACCTTTCTTTTTTATTCAGATTAAATCAAGCCTCTGTAGGGGTCTAATTTTCCCTAAATAAAACTTTCAAGCTTTTAAAAATTATAGTAGATTCTTAGTCACATGTAACTTATATATACTTACATGTATATAGCATGCAATTAATGAAATATAATGCCCAAATGACTTAGAATACTTAATAGTTACAGTTTCACACTTTTAGATCATGAATGGGACTCAGGTTTCCAACACAAATCCTCAAATTCCATAGCAGCTGTAATTTAAGTGCATTAGATCTACTGATAAGCTTCGTAGCTATGAAGAACGTAGAACAAGAACAAGAATATTTGTCTCACTGGGTTGTTGCTATCACCATGATGACAGGGGTAAAGATAGTCCTTCTAAACTTTAGAACATAAAGTTCTAAAAGAGGATTCCTTACATGGTAAAAATTAGTACTTCCCTTGGGGGTTTTCAAACCTGTCCACAGTCATTCTTTTCACAATAGAGAATAAACAAACGTCCCTAGGAAATATTGGTAGAGACCATTTGGAAGTAATCTAAAGCAGCTGATAGCCCAACACAAAATTTATTTGACGATTCGTGTTTGGTCTTACTAGAGTGGCAGAACCATCATTATCCTAACAGCCAGGATCTGATTCTTCTTGAAGAACCGTCTTGTTGGGGAACTGCTTTGATAAGTTCTTGGGGTTGGAAGATGACACTTTCAGAGCACCCTTGTTAGCAGAAGCCAAGGAAACAGACAGCTAAACTTCTCTGCCACCTGCATAAGAGGAATCGCTGGGGAGTGGAAGGGGGACATGGAAAGAAAAAGAAGGAGACCACAGAGTACCCAGGTAGGAGAGAAAGAAATTAGCCAACCCCATATGGCAAGGCTGAGGCATCTCACTGAACAAGACCACAGAACTTCCTCCAAAGACGGTCATGTGAAGGAAACTTCAGGGAGTATCTGTTTTCCACTTTGCACTTGTCCAGATTGTTTGTTTACAAAGACCTCTGCTCACTTCCTCCCGCTTTTATGCATCAGGACTTCATAGATGTGTGTGATGCATGGGGAGTGAGTGTGTGAAGAAGAGTGTGTGTGTGTGTGTGTGTGTGTGTGTGTGTGTGTGTTGGAAAGGACCTGATTTTTGCAGATGGTGACCTCAGTGTTGACAAAATCAGCCCACACTGGATAATTCCCAAAACAATTCCTGGAAATGGGGTCCCAGAGTCAGGTGTGACCTGAGAATATAGGCCTTAGAATACATCAAGATCTTGTTGTAAATATCTCTGGACTTTCACAAGGTCAGAATGAAGTGCTCATAACTTGATATCAAGCAGCTTTTGAATTTCTAATGTTTTGATTACTGAAGAAGCTTGTTCATTTATTGATAATGTTCATTAATTTTTGGTGAATTGTCTGTCTGCATCTCTGCCTAATTTTTAAGGCACTTTTTAAAATATTTATAACAACTCTTTTCATATTAAGCATATGAGCTCCGTGACAGAACTTTGCAATTTTTTTCCCTTCTTTGGCTCTCATATTTCACTAGGATCACTGTATTATTGATAAACATTTATGAACTATTTTTATAGCTTTTAGCTTTGTTATTATGTTTAAATAGGCCTTCCGCACTCCAAAGGGTTTATCCGTATTTTTCACTAGTTTTGTAATAAATTTTTCATTTTTAACTCTAGAATTTTTCTGGAATTTAACTTGCTATAAGTTTATGTAAAATGTTGAGACTATATTTATAAATGAGGTTAGGTTTTCAGCTCTCTGTTTTGCATCTTCATAATCAAATGTGGGTAATACTAGTTTGTAAAGTAATGTCAGCTCTTTGTGTACCGTATCACAGTTTATGGATCACAACACTGATCTTCATTTTTAACCTGTCCTTAACAAAGTAGGAGAGCTGACCAGCTCAATATTCTGCTCCAAAGCATTTTCAGAAAATAATATTTGACAAACATTTTCAATGTTTTGCTCAACTATTTGTTCATATGCTCAGATTCTTTTCTTCTTGAACCCCATTTCATGATTTATATTCCCTCATATTCAGTCATTTTTTGAGATTTTAAAATCACTTAGGTCAAAAAAATAAAATAAAATAAAATCATTTAGGGTAGAGTTATAAGCAATATTTGCTTATAATTTTAAATTTCTAATTATTGTTAGTTCCTTTTTATCTGGACATCAATTATTTTATTTTTGTATTTTCTAACTTAATTATAATAATTTTTGCTCTCTGTGTAATTTTTCCTTTCTCATTTAAAGTTATATACTTTGTTATTCTTTACCTAATTACTAGTTTTTATTTTTATCCTTTGTTATAGAAAAATAGTTCAATAGATATCAAATAAATAGCCTAGTTTATTATATTATTCAGATGTGTCTTTGGCATTTATTTATTTCCTACTTTACCTGTTAAACACTAAGAAAGACATATTAACATCTTCTGCTTCTATTATATTTTTGGACTGCTCTTGAGTTTCTAAGAATTTGTTTATATAATTTAGTGATTTTTTAGTTTGGGGCATAAAAACTTCTACACTTTTTAAAAATGTTATGGAACTTCTTTGTCCTGTTTAACAGTGTCACACTGTCCAAAGTTCAGAAATAACAGAAGTAAAACCACTGAATCACCAAAACAGTAATTAGAAAAATTTTGTTGTGCACATACCAAAAAGTTTGCAAACCAATGGCACGCAGGCCATACATAGAGTGAGGCTCAGGTGGGGTACACTGTTATAAAGCAGCTTACAGAGTAAGTTCATAGTCTTCACTGTGATTGGTTATATTATTTGAATTTTCCCCAGTAATAGGGATCTGGTTAGTGGTTACCTCATACAAACCTTGGAAAACAGTTCAAGTGTTGCTTATGATTTTCAGAGCACAAGCAAGAAATGACCTATGTCAAGTCAATCTTGCAAAGTCAGCTAAATTAGGCTTTTTTTTTTTTTGTATGACCAAACTGGTTGGGTGTGCTCAGGGAATTTTCAAGGCTGGTCTCCACTTGTTTTTTATTTTTAACAATGGTGAATTCTACTCCTACAGATTTACTGTAACTCCAGTTGTTTTGTTTGCTTTTTTGGTTATATAGATTTTCCTACCTTCTTACTCTTTCTGCATTGTTTCATTTTATGTGTATCCATGACAAGAGGTTCTCCCTCAGATATTATTTGACCCAGTCTAGTATTTACCTTTCAGTTAAAGATAACATATTCACAGCTATTCCATAAATGTGTATTTACTTCTATCATCCCATTTTAGAGCTCCTATGTCAAGCTTCCTTGCTGTTTTCTTTTTACCACTGTATTGAGGTATAAATTCTATTTTAATTTGTGTTTTCAACCATCCATCTTGTTTTCAATGCTGTATGTCATCCTCTTTTAAAATATTTAAAGATATGTCTCTCATAAAAGCCAAGAACTGCAAATAACCTGAAGTTCACCCACAGTGGAAGACATTAGTTAATGTCTGAATAGACAATGAAATCCTATAAAGTAATAAAAGTCAACAAACTAAGCTATCTCAATAGCATAGATGAAACAAATTGTTGACGCAGAACATAAAATAATGCATATATTCTATTCATAGAAAGTTCAAAAACAGGCAAAAGCAAACTGTATTGGAGAAGGAAATGGTAACCCACTCCAGCTTTCTTGCCTGCAAAATTCCATGGACAGAGGAGCCTGGAGGACTAAAGTCCCTGGGGTCGCAAAGAGTCAGATGTGACTTAACAACTGAGCACAATTTGCTCTCCTAAGGCAACGAAAGTTAGGATGAGGGGACGTTGGTGGGGAGGGATGGAATTACATCAGAGAGGAGCTGAGAACGCTTCTGGGGAGATGGGAGAAGGCACTTTCTTATTCGAGTGGCGGCTACACTGGTGTCACGTCGTGATTGCCTGCCACACCTTGCACGTCTGTTCTGTGCAGGATTCTGTGTCCCTTTTGGGTGGGCTTCCCTGGTAGCTCAGATGGTAAAGCATCTGCCTGCAGTGCAAGAGACCCGAGTTTGATTCCTGGGTCAGGAAGATCCGCTGGAGAAGGAACTGGCAACCCACTCCAGTATTCTTGCTGGGAAAATCCCATGGACGGAGGAGCCTGGCGGGCTACAGTAAATGAGGTCTCAAAGAGTCAGACATGACTGAGCAACTAGCACTTTAGAACACTGTATAGAATGTTACAATGAAGAAAAATAATCTCACACATAACCTTAATGTTTTAAAAAACTATGTCAGAAAATACAGATCCATTTAGTATCTTCCATGTAACTTAAAAACACTTCTGTTTTTACTTGTACCCCACCCTCAACTCTTACTTTCTGTTTTTGTTAGTATTGATATGACTTTTTATTTTTTTTAATTTTTATCACCCTTCAAAAACTATTTAAGACCTATTCAATTGACTTTACACTATAATCACAATAATAGTCTAGATTCCATTCTATTTCAGATTTTTTCAATGTTTATCATTAGTCACTTTCTATAAAATAGTCCCATTCTAAACATGAGTTTTCTTTTTCTTTTTTCTATATTTTTAAAAATTTCTCATGGCTTGAAATGAGTACATTATTGGTGGTATACTTTTTTTCAGCCAATTAAAATCTGAAAATTGCACAATTATATTCTTCTGTAAATGAAAACTCAATTAAGTAAAAAACTCTAAGGACAGATATATTTCTTCCTCAAAATTCTGAGTCTTGACTCATTTCTTCTCGAATTCAATGTTTCAGAAGAAAACTCTGAGTGCAAGATCATTCAAAACACTAGGATCCTTTCATTACATCTCCAGGGTGCATGGACCATGTCGTCTTCTTTCTCATCAGTTTCATCCCTTTATTCTCCTCATCTAAATTCTGGAAAAGCTTCCCACTTATCTTCCACATTATGATCCCTTGTATCATAGAAAAAGCTTTTCCATTTTAATCTTTCTAACACAAATTTTAGTCCTTCACATGCAGATTTTAAATGGGTTATTACACTTTGATTCTCTTTCTTCTTTTCCGACCTCATCCAACTCATGTTGAATTTTTATGCTCTGTGTCTCCTAGCTAGTTTCCTTTCTAAACTCTGTCTTTTGTTTTATTATCTCATGCTCTTCTTCATATTTTCTAGAATTTTATTGAAAGCATAAAGAGCCTATTTGTTGTTCTCTTTCCCAAGGAAACTGTTTGCCTTAGAAATAAAGCTTCTTTGCCACCCTCTTCCTTTCAGAACTCAGAACATTTGCCTTGGTACCACACTGAGCTGTCCTGATGTGGTGCCTCCATATTTAATGAGGATAGCTTATGCTCTTTGGTTCCCCCTCACTGATTTTTACATTTCTCTTACAATGGGCTTTGTGGACTTTAAGCAGCAAGGTTACTTTCTATAAATTACATGTGTAGCTGGCTGTTCCAGAGGCTGAGGGAACGAAGGGGGAACTCTTTCTGGTGGTCTACTCTGCTGAAGATCAACTTTGGGTCTTTTCTCTTTGGTTCATCCATAACATCAGGTGCGTGGAGGATCTTACCCAGTCTGCCTTCCCAAGCTGCTGCTTACCACATCAAATAGAAAACGCCAGGTGTCTGGAAGAAACCTCGCCTCACAGTCAGCTTTCTTCTTGACGTGAACCTTGTACACACTCTAGAGCCTCCTAACACAGTGCTTTCCTTGCTATGGGTCCACATTGGATCCCTGTCCATGAACAAAGGTCAAGAGGACATCCTGGCCTTTCTCCAAGGTCCACCATGGCATGCAGGGCTCAGTCTCCAGAGGAATGACCCATGGGGCATTTCTGAAAGTATCCATCTGCCCTGTATCCTCTTTGCTTTGCTTCATTTTGGAAAAATCTGAATTAAATATAAAAGAAATTATTCAATGTTTCCAACTTTTTTAGGGGCTCCTTTCCATAATTTGCAATGGGGATGTCTGCTTCCTGATCTATTTTTTGCAATTATTGCTAAAGAGAGTTGAGATGGAAGTGGTGTGTTATACAAATGATCACAGCCATTCTTACCTGAAGGTCATAATACAATTTTTTTATTAATTTATTTATTTGTTTGTTTTTGGCTGCACTGGGTCTTTGTTGCTGCCCAGGCTTTCTCTAGCAGTGACGAGCGGAAGCTATTCTCTAGTTGCGATGTGCGGTTCTCATTGCTCTCATTGCCGTGGCTTCTCTCGTTGCAGAGCACAGGCTCTAGGGCATGGAGCCTCAGTAGCTGTGGCAGAAAGGCTTAACTGCCCTGCATCATGTGGGATCTTCCCAGATCAGGGATCAAACCCATGTCCCCTGCATGGGCAGACAGATTCTCAACCACTGGACCACCAGGGAAGTCCTAAATATTTTTAAATTAACTAATGAGCCAGAAATTCCAAAATTTCCCAGGTGGGTCATCCTTGAGGAAAGAAAAGCAGTGAGAGAGAGGTAAAGTGAGCAGCCTTAGGGCTCACAGTCTTGGTGAGTCTCCACCTTCCATTGTTTGTGTGAACTATCTCCTTCAGTCTGCTTTTAGTTCAGTTTTCAGGTGAGTCCCCCTCAAAGTTTCAAGCTGCAAAATGGCCCAGCTGCAGCAAGGAGCAGGGATGCTTCCCAGAATCTTGTGAAATAACATGATTTGTGACCAGAATTACCCAGACAATATTTCTCAGGGTTATTTTTCACTCTTCCTGTCTCCCTGATAACGTTAACTCAGACAAGTGCGTGGAGCTTTGCAGTGCTGACCTAGAAAAAATGAGAAAGCAGTATCATTATCAAATAAGAACCCACTTGCAGAAATATGGTTGCACTAGGTTCCATATTACACTGTGAAAGCATCAGGATGAAGTTATATATCATTCTTAAAGTCAGAAATCTCAAAATGTATGTGATTTGAGCACCCCCCTATAATTCACTGAACAGGATGAAATAATTATTTAACAACTAGAAAAACATGATATGTATATTTCAAATGCTTCCTAGGGTGAGAAATAATTCCTGGTGGTTTTCTCTTCCCATTAAGTGAGGAAATATCTGACCAGTTGATGAAGAATCGAGCGTGTGGAAGACAAAGGAGGAACAACCACTCTCAGCTTCTACCTGCCCCTGGGCTGATGAAGGAGGCTGTATCAGAGTGAAGGGATGTACTCTCACCCAGCTACAGATTGTGATGAATCCCTTATCACCTGACTTTACACCCACTGTCCCCCAAACGCTGGATTCGGCTGTAATTGAGAAGAGGGCAAGACAAACTCCTCTGCCTTATAGTCCTGTATTCTCAAGTAATCAAATTTTAAAATGTGTCAAAGATTCCTACTCACCAGTTCTGATCACCAAATGAGCAAAATGAGTGGGAAGTGCTTCATTGCCAATTTAGCCAAAAATAAGATGCTAAACACTACCACCTTCTATGCATTATCTATAATAAGTGTATGTAACAAACCCAAGCCAGTAATAAATAAGGCTTCATTTTGCTTTGGAGTCTGTGTTGTTGCTTTAGGTCGGGTTCGGCCACGCAGTTTGGGCCTCAGCTGGGCAGACTCTCAAATTTGGGAGAAGCTGGTCATTGGCCGATCTCGTATGGCCTCAGCTGGGATGTCTGGAACAATTCAGCTCTGCTCTAAATGTCTCATTCTACAGCAAGTCAGCCAGGCATCTTTTTAGGGCAATCATGGAGGAGCAAGAGAACAAGCAAAAATATATAAGCACTTGACCTCTGCTTTGGGGGCATCACACTTGTTAAAATGCCCCTGTTCAAGGCAAGTCACAAGCTGAGCCCAGAGTCATGGGGTAGAATAGAACAAACACCCAACCCAGAGCAATGCCAAGGGAGCGGTTACAGAGAGGGATGCGGAATGGAGAACAGCAATTAACGCAGGCAAGTTACTGGACTCCTCCAGCCAGTTTGTCTACTGTTTGAATCAAGCGATCCTGAGTCAACCGGTTACTTTATAACATACCTAACCCTTCATTTAGCGCCCTCAAATTTAGAACTACTCACTCAAATAAGAGTATCTACTCAACTAACCTCAAAACAGTTGAAATTGAGTCACTGAATAATTGTGATTACTATAATCACATTAATTGTGATCATAAATAGATGAAATTTAATTACTAATGTGTAAACAAAATTGGCTCATATCCAGGTAACTCATGAAACTATGGTAAGTCCATCTTTCTCCTAATGTTCAATACAACGCAATATTTTTCACAATGCAAGATTATTCTCTAACAAAACAGCACATCCTGGAGAATGGTTAAAAATCATGATTGTGCCTTAAGGTGGACACATACAAGCCAGATGTAAGCAAAGATATGAGATTCTATAAAATGACAATATAAAATCAATCTTTAGAAGTACCTTGGCTTCCCAGGTGACTCAGTGGTAAAGAATCTGCCTGCCAATGCAGGAGCTGCAGGAGACACGGGTTCAATTTCTGGGTCAGGAAGATCTCCTGGAGAGGAAATGGCAACTCATTCCAAAATTCTTGCCTGGAGAGTTCCAGGGACAGAGGAGCCTGGAAGGCTACAGTCCATGGGATCACAAAGAATCAGACACGACTGAGTGACTGAGCAAACAAGAAGTGCAGTACAAAAGTCATCAGTGTTCTAAATAACGGTAGGCAAAAATAAATTGGAAATCAAAGATACATTTCCTCAAAATAGTCATTAGAAATGTATCATCCATTATTAGCCATTCATTTAAGGTAAGTGTGTTTAAATCCTCATGATTATATCTGTACTAAGTACTTTTTCAGGAAACTCTGTCCCTACCTTCAAGATAATTAATGTTTGAAACAGAACACTTAGCTATAGGTGTTTAGTGGTCAGAGAGATTTGTTTGAAATCAAACTTTGGTTCTGAAAAGTTGAGTATGAATTAAATGTTAAGCAAATTTTTGAGTTATAATTTAGAGTGAATTTCCAACTTCCATCTGCCAAAATGGGAACCACAAATTGCCTGAGATGGTTTCAGTGTTTTTTGCAGAAAATAATGGAAGTCAAATTTTTAATATTAATATTCTTGCAGTAAATTCTGTGGTAACCTTTCTCAATCATTGGAATAATTCTTTTTTGTTGTTTGTTTCTTTCCACAGTCTTTTTCTCCTTTTTTAATGTTTTAATTAAAGGATAATTGCTTTACATAATTGTGTGGTTTTCTGTCATACGTCAACAAGAATCAGCCACAGGTACACCTATTTCCCCTCCCTNCCGTCTTCCATAGTGGCTGTATCAGTTTACATTCCCACCAGCAATGCAAGAGTGTTCCCTTTTCTCCACACTCTCTCCAGCATTTATTGTTTGCAGACTTTCTGATGATGGCCATTCTGACTGATGAGAGGTAGTATCTCATTGTAGGTTTGATTTGCATTTCTCTGATCAGGAGTGATGTTGAGCACCTATTCATGTGCTTGTTGGAATCATTGGCATGATTCTTAATTTAACCATCTGGTCTAGTCAGATGAATTTCTGGCTGGCGGGGTCATGCATGCATGCACCCTCTGTCACTCAGTCATGTCCCACTCTTAGCAACTTCATGGACTGTAGCCCTCCAGGCTCCTATGTCCATGGCACCCTCCAGGCAAGAATACTGAAGTGAGTTGCCATTTCCTACTCCAGAGGATCTTCCCAAACCAGGGATCGAACCTGTCTCCTGCATCTCCTTCATTGGCAGATGGATTCTTCACCACTGAGCCACCTGGAAAGCCTCGTAGGTTCATAGAGATAGTTAAATGAAAACTGATTGGATTTTGCATCTCTCTTCATATTTCTTGCCTCTACGATCCAAAAAGTAAAGTCATGGTAATGAGAGTTGCTTCCAACCAGAAAGACTTTGAATAAAACAGTTATATCAAGGCTACAGAATTATACTCCATTCCTGACCCAAACCTTTTCTGGATCTGTGAAGTTTTCCTTCTCTTTCTTAATCCACTTTGTCTTTATCTCCAAACCAGAATAGAACTCTTTCTGAATGAAACAGCTGCACTACCAATTTTAACTCTCTTTTTATTTTATTTTATTTTTTGAGGCTTAAATATGGAAGCAGATCACGTAATATGGTGTGCTAGGAGTCCTAACAGCAGGCGGCACCCTTTCATGGAGTTTCTCTTGTTGTCAGCACATAGGTTGTTTTAGACATTCAGTTCTGCTGAGGTGCTTTCAGGGGCCACAGGATACAGCAAAGTCTCCTGGTCCACAGAGGAGCACATGAAACACTAGGAACGTAAAGTCTTTTCAGCAATCCTCAAAGGAAAAATGGAAAGTTTCTTCCTTTTGTACTGCTGAGACATCCCTTGCCTTTGTCGATTTCCAGTCCCAGCTATCACATGGAATGAACAAAATCACAAAAGTAGCTTTTTGTAAGAGAAGCTACATTGCCTCCAAAATCTAATATTAGTGCAATTTGAATAAGCGTTCAGATAAAGATAAGGAACCAGCACCATTAGAATTTTATAGAAATGTATCAGGAAACAAAAAGGCAGATTTGTGGCTTCCTGCTCTTAAACAAAAAAAGGGACTTAGCTAATAGCTAAAATGTACCAGAATAATGAAAACAACAAATCTTAATTTCTGTCCTTTGCTTCCACTGCCTAACACCAGTGGAAGTGATTTTTGTCAACAGTTGTTTCTACATCCTCCCAAGCCTTCCCTACATTAACCTAAGTAACATTCATAAAATTGTTCTTTTGAAGATCAACATGACTGCTTTACATTTTTTCCTTACTTTATTATAAAGTACAGCACACAAACAGAAAAAAAAATGCATGAAAGGAAAATAAATGTCAAGATTGTATCACAAAGAAAACAGTTACAGCTTCCCTGGAGGCTCAGGCAATAAAGAATCTACCTGCAAGGCAGGAGACCCAGGTTCGATCCCTGAACCAGGAAGGTCCCCTGGAGAAGGGAATGGCAACCCACTCCAGTATTCTTGCCTGGAGAATTCTTTGGACAGAGGAGCTCGGTGGGCTACAGTTGCAAAGAATGGGACAGGACTGAATGGCTAACACTTTCACGTTTCACCACATTCCAGGGCAGGAAACTGAATATTGTCAGCATCCCAGGAGCATTCCAGCCTGGTCCTTCCCAATGATGAAGTCTCCCCTCTCCCCAGATATGCTCGTTATCCTCATGCCTAACCCTGGAGTTTAGTATTCCCCATCTTTCATGTTTTTGTGTATGGAATTATGTTTCCATCTTGTTACTAAATTGTGTCTAACTTACATTACTCAGCATTATCGTGGTGAGATTCACCCATCCATTGCATGCAAGGGTAGTTCATTTATTTTTTGTTGTACAGGTATTTGCACTGTATGACCAAATATTCCACAATTTTATTTACCCATATGGCACAAAGTGAAGAAGAACTAAAGAGCCTCTTGATGAAAGTGAAAGAGGAGAGTGAAAAAGTTGNCAATGGACATGAGTTTGAGTAAACTCCAGGAGTTGGTGATGGACAGGGAGGCCTGGCATGCTGCAGTTCATGGGGTCGCAAAGAGTTGGACACGACTGAGCGACTGAACTGAACTGAACTGAACTATTGATATGCATTTAGGTTGTTCCCAATTTTAACTGTAATAGATATTATTGCTGTGAACATTTCTTTTTCTTTTCCACTGTAAGTTATTTTAAGATATTGAGTAAGGTTCCCTGTGCTACACAGTAGGACTGTATTATTTCTCTATTGTATATATGTTGTTTTTATTCAGCCACTGAGTCATATCTGACTCTTTGCAACCCTACGGACTGAAGCTTGCCAGCCTTCTTTTATCTCCTGGAGCTTGCTCAAACTCATGTCCATTCAGTCAGTGATGCCATCCAACCAGCTCATCCTCTGTTGTCCCCTTCTCCTCCCATGCTCAATCTTTCCTAGCATCAGAGTCTTTCTTTTCCAATGAGTGTGTTCTTCACATCAGGTAGACAAAGTATTGGAATTTCAGCATCAGTTTTTGCAAAGAATATTCAGAGTTGATTTCTTTTAGGATGGACTGTTTTGAGCATCTTGAAGTCCTAGGGACTCTCAAGAGTCTTCTCCAACACCAAAGTTCAAAAGCACCAATTCTTCAGCACTCAGCCTTCTTTATGGGCCAACTCTCACATCCGTACATGGTTACTGGAAAAATCATAGCTTTGATGATATGGACCTTTGTCAGCAAAGTGATGTCCCTGCTTTTTAATATGCTGTATAGGTTTCCCTTCCAAGGAGCAAGTGTCTTTTAATTTCATGGCAGCAGTCACCATCCACAGTGATTTTGCATATGCTAATCCCAAACTCTCATTTATCCTTTCTTCTCCTTTACCGTTTGGTAAACATAAATTTGGTCTCTGTCTGTGAGTCTGTTTCTGTTTTGAAACTAAGTTGCTATAAACATTCTTTTTACAGTTTCATAATGCACACATGCATATGTATCTGCTAGATAATTAGGAGTAAAATTTCAGGAGCATGGAATATACATATATTAAGACTAATAGATAAT